CACTATTTTATCTTCTCACAAATTAATTCAGTCTGCGTCCATGCTTCTCTCCCTCTGTCTCCCATCTCCTTTTTGCATCTCTCAGCTCTCCGACGCATCTCCCTTGTATTATATCTTACTATAATCTGCATAATGTGCATTTCTCTTTTTCTTCTTCTTTCAGTTTGTGAGAACAATAAGATATCTTCTCTTTCTGTATACTGATATCTCCATCTTTAAGGCTGACTGTCCACTGGAAACTTCTCTTTATAGAAAGGAGATATTTTTCCTTTTTTTGTGCTAATGTTGCACATTCCCGTCAGCACTGTAAGCTTTGCAAGTGGTTGTTTAAATTCTTAATAGTAAAAGACTTCGGACTGCAGAGCTTCAGCTGAGTTTAGCCTTGTAGCAACAGGAGTTGGGACCACAACTGCCTACATTTGATTAACTCTTAAGTGAGGCACCCTGGAAATATAAATGGATTTATTTCTTAGAGAAGAAGAAACTTATTACTCCATACTTAACATAAATTTTATCTACTTGATTCACCCACTCACACTCTAGTTTCAGAGAACTGGTTAAGAATTTTGAGCCTAAAAGGTATTTTGAGCCAAACATAAGTTCATCACTTACAACAGCAGCCAGCCTTTATTTGACTTTTTGTGGTATGCAGTTGGATTTCAGTTGCTTTTCAGTTGCTACAATAAAGGCAACAAAAGCCAAAAAAAGAATCTTTTAAAAAAAGAAAGAAATTGAAATTAGTTGCAGGAACACAAGCAGACAACTAACTACTTATAGTACATGGAACTATTATAAAACGCTGGGGTTAACATACAGTTCATTATAGTTTTATTTAAACTCTGGACTAAAGTTGTGTATTTAAAACTCAGCTGAACGGTACATGACCCCAGCTGATTCAGTGTTTCACACTGTTTTCTTAGCACTACATCTCTGAGGGTTGGTGCCATAAAGGCAGTGTTAACCTTTCTACAAAGCAGGGTTTACTATTTCATGTGCAAAAAAATGGTTGTAACCCTCGTTCAAAGTGTAAAATCTTACTTATCCCAGGGTTACATGTGTGCTTTAGAGAAGGGTTAGCCTGAGGTTACGTTGTGAAAACCTTTTATGTGTCTTTGTCTTAGGAAAGGTCTGAGGAAGTGAAGAGGCTCAGTCATCCTTAAAGAGTCCAGTGTTATTGGGATGAAGCCCTCATCTGCTGCTGGAGGGCTTATCCTGATTTTTCTTTGTTTTTTTTACCTTAATGTAGACTTTAATTTGATCCAGTTTAATGGTTTTATACACATCTGAGATTTTCCATTTGCTTTTATTATCATTGAAAAGTGCTCTCCAGTTAAAGATTATTATAATTCTTACATTACATAATTACAGTTACAAATTTCTGTTTTGATGGGGCACTTCCCTCCAGGAAGAATACCCAGCAGCTACCTAACAAATACTACTTTGAGCCAACTGATCAACACTCTTTGTCAGGGCACAGGATGTCCTTCTCATTCAGTTTTTACAGTTCAAGGTGATAAAATTATTTTTACATGAAATGAAGTCTGGCATGCATAGCCCAAAGACACATCAAAACTGTTGTTCACAAATCACACCTGACTCAGATCTGTTGGAAGTTTCTGTTCTAGACTGAAAAATCTTTCTTCCTCAGTGGAAAAAGAAAGTTTCCAGTCTCGGTCAAAACCTCAAGCTTAGCTCCTGCCTGTGAGAGCAATCCATAAAGTTTCAGGGAAAAGCAATTCAAAGCCACAAAGAGTGAGAGGGATGGATGGATGGAGGCAGGTTAGATGGAAAAATGAAAAAAAAAAAAAGAACGAATGAGGGAGAGAGTAAAGTTGGTTGGGAGATGTCTGGAGACTACTGTGTGTTGCAGAATCAATTCGTCCCTGTTTATCTGTTCTCCTCCTCCTCCTCCTCTTCCTCCTCCTCCTCTTCCCACTAGCCCCGGGCGTTGACAAGACACTGCAACGCCCGACGCCTACGCAGAAAAAGCATAGCACCAACTACCCAGAACCCATCTGATTTCCTTTGCTCTACCCCTCAACCCTTATCATCCATCCCTCTCTCTCTCATTGCGCTCAGATGTCTCTCGCCCCGATTTCCCCCTGCAGCCCTGCTTCCATGTTATTCTCTCTGAATTCATCCTTCTCCCTCGTCGCTCATATTGCTGTCATACCCGACTCTTCTCCGTCCTCCTGTTCATCTCTCATGCTCTGCTGTTTGCACACTCTCCCTCTCCTGTCCCATCGTTCACTTTCTTTGTCATTTTTTTCTCTGTCCCTCATACTCTCCCAAAAGCACAGTTATTCTTTCCTCCTTTTTGTCTCGTATTATCAATGATCTACTCTCCCTATATTTTATCCTTTCTGTCTTCTCTGTTTCAGTCCTCAGCACCCCGTGTGAACAGCAACCTTGCAGGTTCACTGCATGTCACACTGTGCGAGATGGGTCCAATAAAATCTTTGTCAGGCTGTATGATATCTGTTTTCAGGTATGTCCGAATGTGCAATGAATGTCTGGTGAATTGGAGCGGTATGATGTAGACAGAAATAATTGCAAGCAGAGACACGTCATCTGTTATCCAAGCATCAGCCATAGCACCTGCACAGTTTTTTTAACCTAAAAAGTAGAGCTCACAATGTTCCAGCGGCCACGGTAGTCTGAGTCAAAGTCTGATTAGTTGGTTTGTAGAGTCATAGCGGCAGACACATCGTAGGAATTTGGTCCTAAATTTTGGACACAGACAGAAATTTTGACGGTGTCAAAATCCATCGTCGCCATTGGTGGACGTGTCTCACAGTGTAATCTAGGACCACCGTGATTAGATTGATGGACAAAGATTAGACCATGTTTTTCTCTTGATCATTCACAATCCAACAGTACACAGGAAATTCTGTATTATCTAAATTGTTCTTCCTCCTTAAGATTTAATTTCTTCTTCCCATCCACATTCACTCTCTCTCTACTCTTCATCTCTCTCTCCATCTCTCTTTCCCTTTCTTTCCATCATACTCTATTCTGCCTTTCTCTTGTCCTCCCACTCAGTCCCTCTTTCTATTTCTACCTCCATTTCTCCTTTGCTCATTTCCTCTCTCTCTTTATCTCTCTTTCTGTCTGTCTCAGTGGGAGTTTGGAAAACACTCTGTCTCACTCATGAAAGAAAAGTGTTGCTTCACTCCCCCAGCTCTCTTTTGATTCGAAATAAAAGGCAATGTGAAATATCCCCCAGACACACACACTGACATTCAGAGCATCTATCCTCTCCTGCATCCACTCAGTGGCTTGAAGACTGAAGCAACGCAGCAGTATGAACGGGCAGAGAGAGAGAGAGAGCAAATTAGTCTAGAGTATTGGGAAAGGTAAGAAATAATGAAATGTGTGTGTGAGAGAGGGAACAAATTAGTTTGGCGACAGTAAAAAGGAGTAAGGGGTTTTGTTGTGGCAGTGGTGGTGGTGGTATGTGTGTGTGTTTGTGTGTGTGTAAAAGACAAAATAACAGGTAGTGAGCTGAGGTGGAGAAAGCTGTCCCAGGAGGCAGACTGTGTGTTTTCATGCTGTTCAACTCAACATGACAAAAGAGCAAAAACAGAGCGGATCAAACGGGAAGTCAGTATGGGACATGAACAAAGAAGCCCAGACAGTCAATTTTAGTTTACCAGGGTAGAGTTAAAGACTACACCAGAACACAAACACACACACTGCACTCCATGCTTTCAAATGCTTCTGAACAAATGCCATCCGTCTCTTCATATCTGTGGCCACTCAATTCAAACCAGTGGCATAAAATAATCATCGATATGCAGACAAATTGATAATCAGTGGGTTTACCATACTTATGTGTAAATCATTCAATACCAATTTTTTTAAAAATCACAACACTGTATTTAAATGTTTACTGTTTCCAAAGATACCAAATATGTTTGAATTCACAAATAAAACTGAACAAAATGATACATTCTCCATTAGATTGTGACAGTGCAGCCATCCAGAATGGTATCCTGATTATTTCACTTACTATAAAAGTGAGATACTAATTAAGTGCTGACACACTGAAGCGTATGTGACAATGTCATGTACGAAAAAGGTGGGTTTTTTTTCCAGCTTTGAAGTTGCTCAAAGAAAAAGCAATTTAAAAAATGAATAATGAAGTCACATAGGCACACAAGGGCAAAGTTAAAAAGGAAAATAAGAGTTGAAGCTTATAGTTTGATACCACTAAATAAAATTTAATAATGTAAATACAGTAGAATATTTAAACTGACAGTCAGTATTATATATTTTAACATTTTTGGTTAGATTCCAAGCATCTAATTTAAAACAAATATGAAATACACATAAGGAACTATGTAAGTTAACCTGATATTGGTCTGCACTGGTATTTTAACCCACATGAAAACTACTGACTATCTATTGTCTGTAGTATTCCACTAAAGGTGTAAATCTTTCTACTGAAAAACGTGTTAATTGGCAAGCTCTCACATCCTAATTGGACTCTTGCCTACTGTTTTATTGAAGCACATGCACTGGAAAGGTCAACCAGTTAAAAATATAACAAGACAAATATGTATGTTGGCTAATTGTAGTGATTCTGATACAGGACATTTTCCTATATTTATTTAAATTTACAGAAATATGTAATTGGGTCTTCAAAACCTGACAAAATTTAAATCAAAGTTGACTCTTCAGCAAAAGATTCTCTTCTCTGAAGTAAAAGATGGATGAATAAAGTTAATTTTATTCTACACTTGTTTAAATATGCGCACATATTATACGAGTAGGCTACTACAATTTATAATCAACATGTGTATACCACCTACCAAACACAATCACACATCAACTCTTACTTGTGTATCTTCCCATGGGTGCAAAAACACACACAACTAATGCATGCCCTTTTGTCTACCCATAAAGAACCAACAGAATCAGCCAAATTGGTGAGATTTTACAGCACCTCACCTTTGCCACAGCAGCAAAAACACATACACACTCCCCTCCCTGCTTACCAGTGTAGTCTTCACGGCAGATACAGGTGTACCCTCCTTCTCTGCGGGCGCACACCCCTCCGTTCAGGCAGGGGTTGGAGTAACACAGGTTGATCTCCGTCTCACAGTAATCACCCGTGAAGCCGACCGGGCAGCGGCAGCGCAGGCCTGCAATGGGGTGGATGGGCCGGAATAGGATGGAGGGCGAGGAGATGAAGGGGGCAGAGCTGTTGAAGCGCAGCACCGAGATGCACTTCATGTAGTTCTGGCAAGGCTCACGCAGACACACATTGTCATCGAACGGGAGAACCTGAAGTGATGGAAGAGGACAGAGGAAACACTGTTATTGCTGTTTTAACCTGTAAACAGTAATTTACTATTGAAGGTGTTCCAGATACTGTCCCAACTTGGATTAGCTTCTGCTACACTAGTTTTCACTGCTCAGCATACTTTCTCATTGAGGGTTTTTTTCTCATTTTTTTCTGAACGGATAAAACATGCAATAGGCTTTTTCTGACATTCTGCAATAAAAACAGGTTCAACTACTAACATTGAAGTTGGCTCTTTTCCATTTGGGTGTTCCAGTAAACAAAATATTCACTTCACTTATTAAGTGCAGTGCAATACAACAATCCAATGCCCCATTACATGTAAAATCCCTTCATGAAAATTCTTAATCAACCAAAGTATGAAAGTATTATCAGCAAAATGTGAGTGATATCATTTTTAGATTATTATTTTCGTTACATCAAAACACAAGCGACCTTTTACTGTGGTAGCTGGTCAAGTGGAGTTCATTTTAACTTTATATTCTTATAGGTTTTTTTAAGCAAAGTTTTAATCTGAAAAGTAACTATACAATACTTGTAGTACATGAACTTAATTGCCAGGGAGAACTCATACACAATACAGGCCTCTGAAACTGGAGCAGCTAACTTGATTGCAGCCTTGATTGAAGTTATTGATTACTTCTGTGCTTTTCCTGCTATGACATGTCAAAATGTCTGCCATACAAAAAAACAGTCAGCAGCAGATATAGGGAAGAAGATGTGTAGAGTTGTTTGTGAAAAATGTTATAGAGTCTGCAGTCAAAAAATGTATTTAAATGCAAGCTTCAACATTTTTAGATGAAAATGATTATTTTGTTAAAGTTCAACAAGAGCTATATATCCCTAGAGGCTAATTATCTACAGAAGCACTAACATGAAAATGTTGTTAATTAATTAACGTTAGTCTTTTTTGTTAGATTCAGGAGGTGTTGAAGTTTTAATAAAGCCAGTACAGGAACCTTAGATAGAGAAACCTCTGAGAGACTGAGGGTACTGAAGGAAGAAGGAAATACGTAAATGAGCCGACAAAAAAGACAGAATTTCAGCTCTCTATAACTTACTGTTAATTAAATTACATTAACATGGCGGTAATTAGCTTGATTAGCTGGAATGCTGACATGCTAATGTGTTGCATGTCAGGATTAGTCTTTGTGGCCCTGGGTCTTGCCTCACAGGCTACAGAGCCTTCATGTAGAGGCTGCTCTCTACCCCCTCTGATTGGCGTAGGTGTATAAGCTGGCTTTTGGCAACCACATTTCACAACAGATTTCACAGTGATCCATCCAACAGAGCTGAGTTACTTTATAATATAATATGATATAATATAAGATGTAAGTTTAATAAAGAATACAACAAATAGAAAGAATGCCAAGATAACCTTGATTTCATTTTCAATAACATATTTTTTGGTCCAATTCAATGTATTTGCTTACAGTACCGGGTCATTCTTGATAAAGCACTCTTGCCTACAGACTTTCCACATTCTCTGGTCGCAAACTTCCCAGGCATGAACGCCTCCTTGAAAAAAAATGTAGCCTTCAATTTACAGCTATTGTTATTGGTCTTCTTTTTCGTTACCTTTATTAATTTATTTATTTGCCTCAGTTTTGCTTTGTAAAGCCATCGACTTTCCAGAAGAGAGTATTTACTGTTTGCTGTTAAGGTTACTGGATCAGATGTATCTGTAGGATTGTGTCTTTTTTGACAGGAAGAGGATATAGATTCAGTTTGTATGTGTTTATGTGGGTTTGTGTGACAGTGTCTGCTGAGAGAAGGTCAAACACATTCAGCCTTAAACTATGTATCTCTTGACACTGCTGTTCTCTCTCTCTCAGCCCTTTATAAATCTTTTCCCCTTCCTTTGCATTTCACTTGTTTTCTTCTATTGAAACATCTCTTTCTCTCATGCGTGTGCAGAGATGCTCTGGGGTATGTGTAGGCATGTATGAAACTGATGTGCATGCTGTGTCCAGGTGTGTGTGATTTCATGCATGACAGTATAGTAGTCATATCAGTGCATTGCTGCAAGAAAGCCATATGGCTGTGCTGGTAGCACATCTGCATTGTATTATTATCAGTTCTCATGCAATATGCTCCAGTGACTGAGATGAGATGCATGTGTGTTTGCACTTACGCTTTGCATGTATTCTTGCATGTAACCCTGATTTCCAGCTGCTGCATACATGTGACTGGCTTTTTTCATACAAATTGCATTTGAAAATTATATATAACACTATAATAACTGAATCTATACTGATTACTGATGACTAAATGTTTTGTGATGCAGCAAAATATTTGTTTGAATCAGTAAAATCAAGAAATGATTGATGCTTGTAACTATTAATCAAATGTTTATTCCAAAAACATAAGAATCAGGCCTTAATATGATTAACATGCATGTTAACATTTGCATTTTTTTTTTGCTTTGTGCTTAAGATGAGGAACTTCTTCAATACACTACACACTTAAAAGTTACCTGAAACTTGAGTCTTATATGTATATTCATATTTGTAAATGTGAACTAACCTCCATCTGTGTTAGTGATGTCAGCCTCGGCCTGTTCAGGTACAGCTGTTCCTCCAGGGCCTCAGAGGGGAAGAAGAGTCCACCCGGCAGTGCGGCTGAGAAGCTCACATTCAGGATCCCTCCTGGCGCCGCATCCAGGTCGGGCTGGATGTTGAATATGAAAACATCCTCGACAGGCACCGAGAGCACTGCCGACACGCCCTCCAGAAAGTTACCCAGCAGCGGTGACAGGAAGTGCTCCTGGGACATATTCTGGAGGCGGACGGTAACACTGCTGCCCAGCATGTCCTCTGTGATGATGAGGACGCGAAGAACGCACTGGGCTGAAATGCTGTGGAAGCCATCTGCAGAGTTAAAGAAGAGAGCAGAGCAAATGAAGGTTAAGTGGATGAATAGATGTGCTCATTCATGAGGTGTATACAGGATGGACAAAAAGGTTAGAGTGGGAGGTAGAGGAGCAGGAGATAGAGAGGGTTGAAAGAGGACATGGAGTGATACAGAGGTGTGGACAGGTGAAGGAGTAAAGAGAGAGAGATAGATGAAGGGGGAGGCTCGAGGGAGAGGGGACGGGCCGGCAGGGTTAAAGAGCAAAGAGCAGAATGAAGGAGGTAAAGAGATAGTGATAAATGGACGTTAACCACAGAGGAAGGATTACAAAGAGGAAGAGAAGAGGGGAGGAGGTCACAACAATACTATAAGATATGCAGATTAGACCACTCTTTCTATATATGTCATACATTCACATCTACACTCATACAAATACAACATACACATTTTAGAGTAAATGCTGCCTTTGAGTCTAAAAGGAATCATGTTGCTACTGAAGTGAACAGGCTTATACAAGAGGCTGTTAAATGTCAGAACACTGCCAAAGGCAACCTCCACAATACAGCAACTAACACAAATGTACACACACATGCCAGTTTTCAATCAAACTTGTAGTTATAGCTGTCAAAGCTAGTCTACTTTAACTTTGTGTGTTCTTTAAAATGAGCGGAGAGAGAGAGAATAGCTTATAGGTGATTGAAACCTCCACTACTTTGATGTTTAAATAATGTGATGGTAAGTAAATTTGCTCTGGACACTGGATTCTTTGCACAAATTATGTAAGAATGTATCTGCTGAGAATTAAGTTTCCAGTAAACCTTCACAGCAGACATGGTTGATAAGAGATTTGTATAAAAAGACCGAACTGAACTCCACCTCACCACTGTTAGCAAGGTTGATGCAATTCTTTAATCATACAGTATGTTCCAGTCCAGAAAGAGAAAACTACCTTTGTTTGAGTCAGGAAGTTGGTCTCAGGTTTCGTGCATCTGATTGAACAAGTTACACAGAGAGAGCAGGAGAGAGACAGCGGTATCACTGAGTGCTCTCATGTAGAAAACATCATTCTCATCTCCTCCATCTCCTCACATTCAGCTTTGGTTACAATTTTCAATACAGAGCTCCTTTCCTTTGAAACCTGTCGCTACAAAATGAGTTCATATGAATCGCAGCAGGTCACAACCCCCCACAAACAGAACAATATCTGTTCCAACAACAGACACAAGGCACGTTTAATCCACACTGGGTACAAACACAATCCAGTGCTGGGCTGTAGTGTATATTGTGAGACAATTTGGTTCAACAAGCTGGCTAATAAGCTATAAAAGAATACAAATGCAACTGACCACACCGGCATGAGGAGGCAATTTTCTGCAGCGGCACGAAGTCATTGTGAAGGTGAAGCAGGGTGAACGATAAGACAGAGAGAATGAAAGAGTAAGAATACAATACATGAGGGGTCTTGATGCGAAAAGCATGGCAAGTGGTGGAAAGAAAGAATGAATGAGATGGTGAAAGAAAAAAGGAAGAAGGGAGCATGGCAGCGATGGATGGAGGGTGAGGGGTGAAAGACAGAGAGAGGATATTGACACAGGGAAGAACAGAGAGGCAACAGAGGGTGAAGGAGAGCGAAGGAGGTTTAATAACAACTGGAAAAAGCAAAGGAGATGATGGAGGAGGGAAAGGGAAGAGAAATGAGAGAGGGAATGAGGGCATTTAACCAGGGATCAATTAAAAAAAGAGAGAGAATGACCACTATAATTATGGTAACTTGCATATTGGGAATTTATAACAATTTATTAGTATTACTGTAAATAATTGATTGATTATTGATGTTCATGTCTTTTCATTTTGCTAATACTGTAGTAAAATATCATTTGAGAGGTTATCGAATTGATTAAATGGTTTGTTCAAAGTGAATTCAATTAAGCAATTTCCCTAATTTACAATTTGCTACTGATTTGCTGTTGTGTTTCCAAAATAAAACAGGCAGAAAGGAAGGAGGGAACAGAGCAAAGGAAAGACAAAATAAGAATAATTTGTAATTGTTATTAAATGTTAGAAAAGGAGAGAAAAAAGAAAAATACTCAATAAAAATAGTAAGATGTATAAAGATAGAAAAATATCAGAGAGAAAAACTGCATAAATGGAGAAAGAGAAATGGATGGAGGGATGGGGGTTGGGTTGGCAGCTGGTTTGATTACCGGATTATGAGGAGCCTCACTCCCCACTGACCTCTAACACACATGCACACACACACATGCACACACACTTTAAAATCCAGAGCCCTTCATAATAAATGAACAGCCAGAGGAAGGAGTGGCATTTTGAAGGGACAGAGGAGAAAAACTCCCACAGGAAACGATTCAATGGGATCAATTGGAGAAAAAAAGAAAGATATACTAAAAACATTAATACTTTAAAATAACGGTATTAGTAACAGTATTAGCTGAAGTAATTTAATGTCACCTCGTCTTCTGGGGCTAAAAGCCAGCTTTATTATCAGCCCTCTGGATCATGATGCAAAGACGCAGCAGTAATTGACGCTGATCTCCCATTGTCATTGAAATGAGACAGGGATCTATGAAAAGACCCGAGATAATCTGCTGGAATATGACCCAATCTCACACACACACACACACACACACACACACACACACACATCCGCATGCACGTGCACATATTCATTATTCTTGACACATAAACAGACTTGTGAGGACCATCATTGACACAGGGTGTTCCCTGGCACCTAACTAATATGACTAACATTAAAGGAGTTAGACATTTAGGGACATATGCTTATTTGCTTTTGCTTTCTTGTCAAGAGTTAGATAAGAAGACCAATACCAGTCTCATGTCTGTATGGTAAATATGGAGCTAAAGCCATGAGGCAATTAGCTTAGCTTAGCATAAAGACTGGATGGAATGAGCTACCTTTTTATTGTCTACTACGAGCACCTCAAGAACTCACTAATTTACAAGCCATATCTCATGTGTGTACTCAAACAAGCTATGTTCAATGCTAAGCTAAGCATCTTCTGGCTCTAGCTTCATATTTAGCATCCAGACATGAGAGTGGTATCAATCTTAATCTAGCTCTCAGCAAGGAAGCAATTAAGCCATTCCTTTAACAATAAATCCAAGTCTTAACACTCAAACAGTCCTTCAAAGAAGTGAGGGCGAGACAAAATGTCCTCTTTCCAAAAACATAATTTCTTTAAAAGATAGAAGTACAAACACACACGTACACCTTTGTTTCCATGTTGGCCTCCTGTAGACTGTGTGCTTGATTGTTTTCTGACACAAATACAACGATCTCCTGCCAAGTACTCTGAACATTTCCCCTCTGAGTCACAAGCTCCCAGGAACCCCCTTCAGTGGCCCAGGGGGGACAACTGTGACATTCAAACAAGAATATTTTGACAACTCAAATATCAGTGCGTGTATGTCCTGACAGTTCAAGTATAACTTATAACTGACAGTAAACCTGGCACATACATAAACAAGCACAGTAAAATATCTTCATTTGGCTTCCCTTAATGGCTACAGTCCAGCTAATTTGGCCAGCCTGGACCATCACAAGGCTCTTCACGCTTATGGAGCTATTTGGAGGCTTTACATAGAAAAGAAAAACAACTATTCAAGTTAAATGGCCATTTAAGCAATTACGACCACCAAATTCTCTCCACTTCCCACCGACCCAGGTCGATGACTAATCCCCCTGCTCCTCGGAGGTCAGCTACAAATTTTACACAGGTACCTGACATAATAATTACACTTCTGCCGAAAACACAAGTGTAATAAACCAGTAAGTCTGTGGATTTAAAGGGCATTTTCCAAAATTTCTGGAAGGTAGGTTTTTACTTTTCTTGTCACAAGTTAGCCAACTGAGGATTGTCACTGAAAATCTGCTTCCAACACTAAGCCTAATTATAATGTTTCCTGCTGTGTTAATAAGCTCACATTTCACCAAAAGCTCAACAAGGACGAATGATTAACATTATGTTAGAAACTATATGCAGGGATTCCTTACTTCACCTCAAGTTTGACTCTAAAGCACAACTTAAAGTTATTGAGCTTGGCACAGATAGAGGAGGGAATTTTGAAATGTAGTTTTGTAGTTTTTGTATCAGATTCCCCTCTGTTACTAAAAAACATCCATCTGGCCACCTCACCCTAATCAGTCTTAATTTCCAACAAGTCAGGCAAAATCTTTAGCTAAACAAATCATGAAACTGGCTCTCATTTGGCCCTCAGACAACATTTTATAAAAAAAAAAAAAATACCAGACAGTAATGGTCCTACACCACACGTGCACCACTGTATCTTAAATACCTCCAATCCTTTTTTACTGGAAGAAACTGTTTTTTATAATTAATTATATAGTTTTATATAGTTTATATAGTTGGCCACTTCCGAGCCAATTGAAATATATTATATATATAAGTCTAATTTGAAGACATTAGCCCTGAAGTGTTTAACATTTCAAAAATAAGGTTAGGTTCTGTATGAAGGACCAATAAATACCACTGACACTCAATAAATAGAGAGAATCTAGTGAGTACAAGGACGCTATCCTTTTAATCCCCACCATAGCTTATGGGATTCTGAAGTGTCAATCATTTTGTCAGAATATATATCCCATCTGTAAGACAGCTGATGTATCATTTTGTATGGAAACCCTTCATATCCAGGACTGAATCCAGAGACACGAGGCCTATCCCAGTGGAATATAAAGAAAAAGAGGAATTATGGAATTACTTCTGAATCCTGGTGAAAGGTTAGTAAGGGTGATCTTTTCCATAACTTCCTGTTAAGCGAGGAAGTCATAACTAATGCATCGCCCTTTCTCCTTGCCACTCTGCGTGCATGGAAACAATAAAACATTGATAACCTCCAAACTCAGAACCCCATAAATGGAAGGTTATTTTGGCATCTTTAGCACCGCAGGAAAACAAAGCATTTCGTAAATAACAACTTCTGCGAGCTTTCACGGTTCCTGCGGGCTTCGAGCCAA